CCTAACCTAGAAAAACTTCTACTACAATGTACTTAAAATACCTCGTGGTCACCAACCCAAATGGTTTACAGCAATCCAAAAAATACTAAGTGAACTTGCCTTATCTTCATTTGAACTCACCTTCTCTAATCCCTTTACTTGGACCTTCACCAGAACTCAGACAAAATAGATAATCACAACAGACTACACCCTTGGCAAAATTACTTCATCAAAAGACAACCTTTTCAAAATCTAATATTGAAAACTAAATCACAATACTAATACTTTAAACCCCTGCAGCTTATATCCATGTTATGATCAAATAACCTATAATATATACTACTCATTTTGGATATCTAAATTTTTTGCCTACCAAATTCAAGTATTATCAAAACACACTTGGCATAGCACTCTCTCTAACCTTTAAGTTCCTTCTCCCCCACCAAAGTACACTAATTATCCTGTATACTACATACCTCAAAACTATCAATACACCTTCAAAATATTACAAACTCTTAGTGAACATGCCAAATATATCTAGAATACATATCTACCATTTCCAAATCTTATATCTCTTACATCACAACTAACAGTCACAACTCAAAAGATACATATTCTGATATCTACTTTTATTATTACTCTTGTTAACTATACAACAAGAATAGTTATCCAAAATAAGACTTGGCCTAGTCTGGCAAAAATCGCAATTACAGCCTTTTGCATACTCCTTATACTAGCTTTGACACAGGCAAAAATAAACCTTACTACAAACTCAACCATCTTAATCAAACTCCTGCCGATTTTCACCAACATCTTACTGGAAACAGCATATATAATCTGAAAAAATGCCAATACCAGCCTCCTGATCACTATCTGAGCTGCAATATATGCAAAATACATCACCATCCAGGCTACACACTCATGCCAAAACAAATTTATACAAGCTAGTGACAAAATTATCCAAACAGAAATTGACTCCTCTATAGTAATCAACAATATCTACCTCCTCTGCTTCAATCACCAACACCTACCTCCTCTGCTTCAATCACTAACTAGCATCTGACGACCTCAAGTTACTGATAAAAAAACTTTATATCACAACCAATATCAACTCATGATATTTACAAAAATGAATTCAAACATGGATCTTAGCCACACACAAAATTCTATAGAACTTAATATTTCTATATTTTTAACACAATGATAAACCACTCCAATGTTTTACCAATTCTAAAATATTCAAGATAAAAAATTTCAAATTCAAACTTCTAATAAACAAACTACCTAACCAACTTAACCTCTCTAAACACCACCCTCTAAAACATACCTCACCTCTATGTAAACACTATAATACAGAAATTGAAAATGATGCACATTGGCTTATATGCCCAACAAATCCTACTACACTAACCCAACTTCTTAGTGATACTACTAACAACTTTTTCTAGAAATATAACCTTACACCGACCAATATTAACAACTTCACACAAGCATTTATCTGAATATACATAACGAACCAAACACCAATCAGCATAATTACAGAAGATACTCTAATATCTACTAGCAGCCACAATAGTGCTATTTACTTTGTCCCAGAATTACACCACACAATTATAATAGAGATACACAAATCAATATAGAAACTGAGTAGAATCATAGCAAATAACAATCAGCATAATGCAAATACTAATAACTCACACTCATCTAATTATAATATAACAACCCCCGACTTTATCTCCAATTTCTATATAAATAGCAAATTTTACTCCTGGTAGAATTTTTATATAAATTTCAACACTCTACTACAACACATTTTTAATATATAGTCTAGAAGTCTTTCAACCTATCTAGCTAAGGTTAAGGTCTAGAGTAAAGTAGCTCCATCCCCACTTCTCCTAAAAAATTATGTAAACTTACTTTGTAAAAATCTGCATAATAAATAATAAAGAAACTGAGAAAAAGACCTCACTTAAAAAAAAAAAATAATAATAAAAATTAAGTCTAATTTAGATTTAAATTTTAAATATAATAGCTATTTATTTATTTACTGCAATCTTGTAAATTAGTTTATTTATTTGTGATTTTTTTACTACAAAACTACTTTATATTAGAATTTTAATTTAAAATATACAGTATAACAATTAAATTAATACTGTATATTTTAGAATTAAATTTTAATTAAAAAACAAAATATATACGTATAATAAGTTATAGTAAAAATATTATATTTATTATAATTACAACAAGTTAATTATTAAACATACTATATTGTATTTAATTAAATTATATATACTATAGATAATAGCAGTTGTGACCAGAAAGTTTCAGGCAGCTAGTATAGAACCTTTGGGCAGACTATTAAATTAGGCACCAAAAGTGCATGTGTGGGTAGTTGTACTTTCATCATAATTATAATATAACTATTGTTTAATAAAAAGTCCCCAGACCAAAGAGATTACTTATCTTAATACCAAAAAAAAAAATAAATAAAAAATTAAATTATATATATTGTATATGAGAAGAATTTGTATATCAAAAAAAGGCAATAGACAAAAATTCTGTAAATTTTATAAAAATTGTATTTCTAATACTTTAATTCTTCAAGAAATTGAGTTTTAAAAAATTTTTTTTGTCTATTGTCTCTTTTTGCTATAGATATAACAATATACACTAATTTAATTTGCTTATTGTATTTTATATCCTGTATTAATTATTACAATTTTTTATAAATTAAATATTGAAAAAAATATAAAGCTTTTATTTATTATCAAAAATCTACAAAAAATAGTGATACTAATAGCAGTTGTATTTTTATTTGTAATAAAAATACTTCGTGACTTTTTGCAACTTAAATACTAATAAAATCCAAAATCCTAATAAAAAGCGTTTTGGCTTTGACTAGAAAGAAAAAAATTAAACAACTGTTAAAATATTATTCAAAGTTTGGTTAGCTTTGCAAATTTTAATAAATTTTTATAATAAAAATTTATTACTAATCTAAAAGATCGGATTATACAAATCTTAATTTTTTGGCAATTGAACGTTCAAGATTAATTTTAATATTAATTTTTATATTTGATTTTAATATTTAACGTTAATATTTAATTTTAATATTTAATTTTAACCAATCAAATTTATGAGTTAGAACACGGTCCAAAGTCCAATGTCAAGAAATGTCAAATTTAAAAGGTATTCATTTAAAAGTTTAATTTTGTTTAATGTCATCATTTGATATGAAAAGAAGGATAGCTTAAAAAAACTTTATTGTTATATTTTTAAACCGAAACTTAATATAAAAATTTTTAAACCGAAACTTAATAAAAATATATTAAATCCAGGTTCGGTTTAGACAGAGTTAACTGTACAATGTGCAAATTTTGTGCAAACTGTTGACAATTAAAGTTAGCGTTGTTTAACATGGAATAAGGTTTATTTAATTAAAAAGAAAATCAAATAAAAAAGACAATTACTATTAATTGACACTATGGGTTATTCTATTGTAGATAATCCGAACTGCAAATCAAAAATGAACCGAATCTGAATTTTATTTATTACGTAAGACAAAGAGGGTATAATGACAAAGATGGGAGTGATGTGTGATAAATTTAATATGTCGTAATTTTAGTGATCAGAACCTAGCGACTTTTATTCGATTCTTTTTGACCACCGAATTAGATTACTACTTAATTGTACATTACCATATCTTTTCTATATATAATGAAATACCCCTTTCACTTTACAGAGCCCGTGCCCGTACCCGGCACTAAGCTTTAATAGTACCGTACCCGGCACTTGCATAACCTAATTGAGAAAGTTAAAAATAAAACACGATAAACTATTAATTTTTTTTTATATTGTTCTTGCTAATAAGAAAAAAAAAAAAACCGAAGTACGTAGTGATAGTGTAATAGTTGATAGTAACTGGTAGTAGTGGTGTTAAAACCATTTAAGAAATAAAAAGAAATAAAAACCGTTTCATTCGATATATGTAATAATTTAATTCAATAAAATATTTAATTGATTTTCTCTCATTAAAGAATAGTTTTTTTTTTAATCATGGTAATGACATTTTTTTTAATAAATTATGAACCAAAAGGTAAATCACATATTAAGAATTAGCCGGTGATAATGACAAAGGATGTTTGAAATCTGCAGAAGATCATTAGTAACGCGTAAATTGTAAGTTTCAAGAATGTGTATAGTTACATTAATGAATCTTACAACTTTGATATACACATATATAGTTATATCAATGACTCTTCCATTTTGATATATATAACATACATATATAGTAATACAATATATAATATGGCGTATCGGCATACGTTTTATTCTTTATTTTTGTATCTTCGTATTAATTTTAAATTCATATAAATCAATTAGCATTTAATTTTTTTTTTTTTTTTTTTTACGTATTTAATTTTTTTTCTTTAACTTAGAAAAAAAAAAAAAAAGTAATAGAAAAGGACAAAATGGTTCGAACTGTAAGACTTCCATTAATTAACGGACTAGTTAGAGCAGATTATTCACCAACAACTTATCAAGGATATGTAAGTAAAAAATTATTATTTTTAAGTTTTCACTTTTATGAACAAAATTATTTATTAATTTACAAAAATAGTTTACTATCACTCAATTTAACGATCGAGTCAACCAATTTAATTCAACATCTAGACTTTATATAGAAGGAAAATTCGTAAAATACGTATTACCAGTGATAATTTTAATAGGAATTCCTATAGTGTTTAAATTAATAACAGTCGATGGATATTTCTTTGGCGTAGGATGCCTTATTGGAATTCTAGGGTTCTTTTTAGTCAATTTTGTTAACTATGTTTTAAAACCAAGATCGGTGAGCACAATTCTTTTCTATTTATGATAATAGACGAAAAATATTAATAATAATAATGAGATTGAAAAAGAGATAACAATTTTGTTAATAACAACTTGTTAATAGAAAAATTTTATTTATTTATTATGTATGTTACATGTATTGAACGATTTAGCAATTATCTGCACTGATGGGATTAATACAGAAATTTAACCGTGAAGATAATGTTAAGAATATTAATTGGAAGCTGAGTGTAATTCACGAAACCAATGAAGACAGTTCTTTATTAAATCGAATTCGCTCTAACATAAGTGTTTTACAACCTGTGAAATTGGTAAATTGTGAATAGTTAATAAAATGATTATTTTAAATATATCGATATATGTTAATTAATAAAATTTAAATTATAGGAACTTGCTATCGAGCTAGGCACAGCAGCAGAACCAATATTCATCACACCTAATATTAATGTCATTGTTCATAAAAATCCAAGCCTTCGTCGCACAACAATCACAACTCACAATTATGGAGCTACTATTAGTGGAATTACTGCAACTCATCATGATACAAGTAATTATTCAGTTTGACGTTAACAGTTTGAGAGAGAACCTATTCGATAAATATTATATTATGTTGAAGGAAGGATTGTTTTTTTTTCATTTAACATAGATTTAACATAGACTCTACTAGTATAATTTGATATATTAACTACCGTAGTAGTGAAGATTTATCTAGATAAAAAAAAATAACATTTTTAACGTTATATAGAAGAAAAAAGATAATGATACGTAGGCTATACACAAATTAATATTTTTCATAAATAACGATAGCTCAACCAAGAAATTAACGTTATAAATTAATGTTATATATTACAGAATACGTCAAAGACTTATTCGTAATCACTAAGCCACGATGAATTTTTTTTCGAGAATCAAGTTTTTATATTTGAATTATAAATTATATTTGAATTTATATTTGGATAGTTTTAATTATTATTATTATTTACCTTTTTCAATTACTTATGATAGTAAACAAAGAATATCATGGGGATTCATTTTAAACCAGTATTATTAATTTTATTGTTTCTAACGATGAAGGTTCAGTGATATCAAAATCGATTTCCAATAGCATTTTATTAACATCAATTTTAAGTACATAAGTACTGTACACACGTGTTTACTTAATATAGAATTATATTTTAAATATATAAATGTTTATTTATGAAAAATAAATATTGAAACATACATCGGATAGGTCGGAATAAGAAAAGAAGAAATAAAGGAATAGTATTTCCTATCATTGTTATCAATTACTATCATTTATGTGTACACAAAATCAATGCCAAGGGATCATTTGAAAACCTGATTAAGAAAATCAGAGGCTTGACGATGATAATGGGTAACGATCTGATCATAAATATTTATAAAAATTTCTCTTAATAAGTATATATATTGGTTCAAAATTTTTGTGGTCAATCATAGTGGCCGGTTATTTACTATATTAAGAAAGGGAAATCTGATTTTTTCTTGAGGCTTTTTTTTTGATGATAGCGATAGGTATTTTTTCTCTTAATTTTTTTTTAAATATAATTTTTAACGATTACATTAACTTTAATAATTTTTAAAGTCGTAAATTAGTTTTTCCAATTTCGGGGGGTTTTTTTTTTTATTTTATTCATGTAGATATTTAATTTATACAATCTAAAAAAGTAAAAATATCAATGTCTAATCCAACCACGAATATTACGAATACCACAAATACCACGATTTTAGATGAACAATGTGGAATAAATTTTACCTGTAATCTCAGCAACTCGAGCTGTTATCTTTCACCA